CCCTGAGCCGGTGAGATTTGAACCGCTGACCTGCTGATCTAGCAGTAGCCTGCAGTGCTGCATTTAACCACTGCGCCACCTTGGCTCTTACTTAGTTTTCTCAAGAAAGGTTTTATCATTTCATTAAAATCATCTTAGTAATAGTTAGCCATTCCTGTTTTTGACTGCTGACTAATGGGGCACTTTCAGAATGAAGCAAGCAGCACATACTGAAGGCAGCGTATACAGTTGGATAACTGAAGTCTGTCAGTTTCCATTAATATGGCTGCTTCTGCTCTGTAGATACTTCAGGCCCTGAGAAGAGTATTAGAGCTTTAATGGTGAAAGGGATGATAACAATACCAGTTGGCCAAGATGCCATAAGAAATTCATGATGAAACCAGCTTCTATTTTAGTATAACATCTGAACTGGTGATTTGCATTCTTCTGCCAAATCAGAATTGAAACAGAGATGAAGTTGATTTACAACCAGTAATTATGGTAGCTATGGTTGTTTAGGATAGCTGGTCTGATAAAACATAGTTATAACTACCATTCCATCTTAAAGGTTTATACTGAAAATTAGCAATAAATATTCATTGTGTTGCATTGTGGAAAAATGCATTTTGGAATGTTTTCAGTCTAATTTTTTAAACTTCCTGTATGTTCTGATACACACACACACAAACACACACACACACACACACACACACACACTTAAGACCAGTGGAATTTACAGGTGTGTATGTGTGTGAAATTCAGCAAGAAGGTGGATATGTCATCACGTGCTTATGCAAACTGGATGGGGATAGGATTGTGATCTACTGCTAACTTGTCTATTATACACACACACATCACCACTGCTTAATTTTTTTCCTTTTAACTATGTTACCAAACCAAAGGGTTGAACTTTTCATTTCAAAACTCTGCCAGGTATGTCTTCATTGCAGAGTTAGTGAAAATATTGAGTTATCAAGGACTTAACATTTTGCAATAGGATAATCTTTGTTCAGGCATATGCCAACTATAGTTAATTAAGTTTTATAGTTCTTGCATAGCTTTTACTCCATGTTGTTTTCTAATTTTCTCAATTAGATTCTAAATTGTTTTATTATGAAATATTAAACAATGTAAAACAAACACAATAAGGATGATTTCAAATGGATGGAGGGATAAGAATCTGCAAAGCTTTCACTGGCAATTATTACTGGATTTATTTTTTTATGTTACAGATTTTATTTTCCAATATGGAAGATATACTTGATGTTCATAATGACTTCCTGACTGCTTTAGAATATTGTTTACATCCGGAACCTCATTCTCAGCACGAACTGGGAGATGTCTTCTTAAAATTTGTGAGTATGATACATTAAAATACATCCTCTGGGTTGTGACCAGTCTTGGAAATTGTGTATCTTGATGCAAATTAAAAATATTGGATATGGAAATCACATGGTTTCATAAGATATTTGAATTTATATAAGGTTCCTTTAAGTAGACCAAACCTCATTTCACAACTCTGGCTTCACATCTTATTCTAAGCGGAAATTAATAAATCACACCAGATCAGTATGTCTGCAAAAAAAGGTGAATTTTGTCTTAAGTATCTGAAGAAAGGGCTGTCTCATATATGGGGGATTAACCCCCCCCCCTGAAAACTGGAAATTAAAGTGCCTGTAACATTGCCAGGATATAGGGGAGAGTTTCAGACCTGAACTGACTTGTGTAAAGTCCTCTTACATCTTCTTCATGTCCATTGCCCTCTCTATCCTAATGTATGTCTATAACTTTTTTAGGAGGACAAATCTAGTTCTGTAGAGGGTTTTTTTTTTTTTTTTTGGATAAGGTCAAAATAACTTGATATCGTGTCCATTCCTTCCTTTGTTGAGAAAGTCAGTCAATCAGTTTTTGGTTGCAAGAAATGCCTCTACAGCCATATATGTCAAAATGCAGACATACTGTAACTTGGATGCTGTGTTTGGTCAGGAATAACTGACATGTGGGAATAATTCTAGGAAAAAAGAGGAGGAGGAGATGAGAAAGAGGAGGAGGAGGAGGAGAGGCATATCCATATGTTCCCCTAACTTTGGCTCACACATGTCTCACTAATTGTTCTTTATGAAGATGTTTGCATAGCTTTCTTCTCCTTCCCGTCCCCATAGCCAAGGATATTTCTGAATACTATACAGACTAATAACGTCTTCGCTCACTAGATATATCTGTAGTTGAAAATAAGAATGGATTTTTCTCCTCCTCCTCCTCCTCCTCCTCCTCCTCCTTCCTCCTCCTCCCTCCTCCTCCTCCTTCTTCCTCTCCTCCTCCTCCTCTTCCTTCCTTTTTCCTAGAGTTATTCCCACAAGTCAATTATTCCTGACCAAACACATCATCCAAGTTACAGTATGTCTGCATTTTGACATATATGGCTGCAGAGGCATTTCTTGCAATAAAAAACTGAGCAACTGGGTCAGTTGGACCTGACATTTGTTTAGCTGAGCAGTATGGTGGTGGGCAGATAGTATCTAGCAGTATTGCTGAGAGGAGTAAATCTCACCACTGAAAGTATCAATTATTGCTGGGGCAATATCAGGGGATAGTTTAATAGAAGATAAAGAATTGAAGAAGACCACCAAGTATCAAGATCTGGAAATCAGAATTGAAAGTTTATGGCATAAATCGGCTGTGGTGGTTCCAGTGGTTATCAGCATACTGGATGCCATATCAAAAAATCTTGGATGATCCTTAGAAGATCTGTATCTTGGCAAAATTCCCATCAGTCAATTTCAAAATGCCACGTAGCTTGGATCTGCACATGTACTACATTTATACATTACGACATCCTAGGTTCTTAGGAAGAACTCAGTGTTATAAAGGCACCACTTAAAAACTTTACATTGTTGTGAGCAGAGAATAATAGTAATCTAAAAATAATAATCAATAATAATGCTGAATATACAGTGCATGCAGTGTATCTGTATCAGGAAATGGGCTAGATGCATATGCCTGTTGCCTACAGATGCCTGCAGAATTGTAGTTACACATGACTGTCACATGTATAATGCAGGACTTCATCCAGTGACTTTAGTAATGTGGTAATATGTGTGGTGGTCTTAAGTTACAGGCTAGCATGCTGAAAGAATTTGCTGAGCAAGAAAAGATCTATTTTTAAAGAGTTCTAATCAGTGATCATGATATGCTTTGATTGTGCAGGTTCAGTTTTCTGAGGGTAGTGCCTCTAATTATGTAACTGATAGTTTCCTCATCCTATGAAGAAACCTCAGTGTCACCCAGAGAGAAAATTAAATACTTAAAGCACTAAGTAATTTTAAAGCGTGGCTTTCATTCTTGTGGTCTTGTGCATGAAGGACAGCTGGTAAGACATGATGAAAGCCCTCTGGCATCTTTATAATTATTGAATATATTGAACTGTGGTTTGCCAGGAGATGTCATGATCTAAATATAATCTCTAAAAATATGGCCAGTATCACAGAGCTGCAATCAAAATAAACAAAACAACACTGGGTGCTATTCCCCAAGCATAAGGTCAGCTGCAAAGAACTGAGTGATATTAATGACTACAATGCGAAAGAACTAAGTCTTATATAATGTTTTTCCTTCTATAAATTCCCATCTGCGCTCCATCCGGGACTGGGGCTTTATTTACCATTATTGAGCTATATCTTAAAGCAATCTTCAACCTGGTGTCCACCGGACATCTTGGGATGCAATTTCTATCTTCCCATGCAGCACAGGTATTGATATTATGTAGGATTATGGTACAAATGTAGCTGTCTGCTCTCTTGTGAAATATACTTTTTAAAAACCTGTTTGTAATTTCTTCCTGTGATTCAGGTCCTTAGTTGTAATTCAAATTACAAACAGATATGGGAAAATGTGTTCCAGATTTATGGAAGTGTCTAGTTCTAGCCTAATGCTCTAAATTGGGTTGCATTATGATTTAGAATCCTAGCACAATGTGGATCGACCTACACGGACTGGTTTTGTTAGCACAGATTATTTTATTGGAATGTGGGCAGGTTATTGTGATAGTTGAATTCTTAAGTTCAGACCGCTTTGGAGTTTTAAAGGGGCAGTTCATTCCATACCCATTGCTGCCCAAATGGACTATTGCAATATGCTTTATGTGGGGTTACTCGTCAAGAGTATCTGGAATGCAGCTGATGTAGAATGCAATGGATGCAAGAGCTCTGGGCACCCCTAGGATTGGTCATGTAACCCCGGTTTGCTTCTGGATCTAATTCAATAAGATACCAATAATAATAAGGTAAAGTTGTCCTCGCACATATAGTTGTTCCCGACTCAAGGGGGTGGTGCTCATCTCTGTTTCAAAGTGAAGAGCCAGCGCTGTCTGAAGACGTCTCCATGGTCATGTGGCCGGCATGACTAAATGCCAAAGGCATAGGGAACACTGTTACCATCTCACCAAAGGTGATCTCTATTTTTTTACTTGCATTTTACGAGCTTTTAAACTGCTAGGTTGGCATAAGCTGGGACAAGTAACGGGAGTTCACTCCATTATGTGGTGCTAGGGATTCAAATTGCCCAATTGCCAATCTTTCTGATTGACAAGCCACTGAGCCACCACATTCCTCCAATAATAATAGAAAGCTTTAATTAACATATATTCCTTTTTTCATTCCCACAGAAAGACAAGTTCATTGTGTATGAGGAGTATTGCAGCAATCATGAAAAAGCACTCCGGCTTTTGATGGAACTGAACAAGATCCCTCCTGTGAGACAATTCCTATTGGTAAGGATCAATAATACCATAAATCTCTTTCTATAGACAAGCCAACTCCAACACCCAAAACCAAGGTAGAGTCATAAATGCCCCAGACCGTGGTAAAACACAATGGAAAAGATTTGCATTAAAAAAACTGTAAATAATACTAGTCCCTTGGCATCCAGTCCCAGCAGCACTAGCAATTAAAAGCGCTAAAGAGCAATTCTGTTTTAATTATTTTCTTGAAAACCATCAGGGATTGCCCCATCCAGATCTCTGGGGGTAAATTGTTCCATGGGGATGGATTATGAAGAAAAGTTGTTTCCCGGCCCCCTCTTGTACTGTCATGATTGAGTTATTAAGTTTATTATTGTGCTTCTATGCTGCTTCAGTCCATTGAAGCTAAATCACTTATTAAGGCATACTGAACAAAAAATATTATTAAAGCTTCAAGATTAGAACAAACTCAAAAGAAACAAATACAAATATATATGAGACCATAACAACAACAACAACAATAATGAACCACTCTATTTGGGACAGCTTATATCCTCCGACATTACTTTAACAATTCCTAGGTCTTTGGTTAGGATTCGAGCTTTTGAGCTTTCAACCAGCCCCAAAGGCTGTGAATCTAACCAAAGATTACACAATAATAATTTATAATAATAATAATGAAAAAAAATAATAAAAAGAGAAAAAATAATGAAATATCGCGACCTGGCCATCGAAACTACACGGCTATGGATGAAGCATGT